GCTTACAATAATAGGGGGGGGGGGAGGGCAGGACAAAACACAAAAAGAAAATGTGAATAAAAATAATTAGCAGTAAAAGCCCAACATTCATTCAGCATTCGGGAGGGGCGAGAGTAAAGTCTTATCCCCAGGCCTGACGGGGAAGCTGCAATTAAGAGTTCTTCGGCACAACCTGCTTTTCCAGTGTGAAGTTCCCCACTAACCATTTGTTGAGGACAGGAATGTGTGATGTCATACTCAGTTCAGCCTCCTGCAAAGGTAACCTGTCCCTTCTTGTTCATCTCAGATGAGATAATGCATTGGCCATGAAGTGCATAAACTCTATCCATAGCATTCCATTTCAGTAGAAGCCATGTTTTTACTCCTACTGGATAATCTAAGTTGTTGCAGGCACATCTCTTTCCCTCTAGTCAATAGTAGCTACCATTATGCCCATGCTGACCATATTTGCATATGCACAGTACACTTGTAGGCAACGTAGCCACTTGCTGCCCCATTCCCTTGCAAAATTTATTTATTCGAGATACTTGGGAGCTGGGATGAAACTGCAAATGAGGGGAAGAATGATAATATTGGCCACTATCTGTGAACTAATAAATGTTACTGTTTCTATTATATGGGGCAGAGTCTAGTAGAAAAGTCTACTTGCTTTGTACAATCATGAGAAAACTGTTAACGCACATATAATAAACTGAGCAATTAGCCTTATTGTAGAACAGAAGACTTTATAATGTCAGAGTGATATTATCTGATGTACCATTGTGAAGAATGTACAGCTTACTTCATATTATGTGGTGAGAAACCTTTCCCAGACATGGCTGTCACTTCCTACCTTCAGACTAACATGATTTGACTCATTAGTATTCAATGGTAGTATCTTCTCCGGTGGAATATGGGACCATCTCTTTTGCCGCAATTGATTGGCTCTTCTGTACTTCCTGAAAAGTATTATAGAAACAATTCTGAAAATATTAGAATCTGGAATTTTAGAAAAATAAAGCTGTGTTAACATTTTAACACATTTACACATACATGCAACATAGCATCTAATTGGGGAGGGGGAGGAGGAGAGGGGAGAAAGATCAACAAGTGCAAATGGAGGATGCTGGGTCTTGTAAAACTTTAGCTATAGAGCCCAGGCAGTCAGATGGATAGCTAAAGCTTGCAAGGACCCAGCATCCTCTATTTCTTTGCACAACTTTTGGAGATGACTTTTGTTTTTCTTTAGTTGAAGGAGGAAAGCTGCAGAAAGTTTTTATTTCCTTGCTTGCTTCAGGTCCTCCACTCTTCATCCTGAAGTCAAAGTCAAATTTAAAAGAGATAGACGTTGGAGTGCAGAAGAGATTAGTTTTAACTAATTGGGGTGGGAGAGGGGAGCGATCAACAAGTCTATCCCTCCCATGGCTGTCACTTCCTACCTTCAGACTAACATGATTTGACTCATTAGTATTCAATGGTATTATCTTCTCCGGTGGAATATGGGACCATCCCTGCTTTTTGTAATTTTTTTTAATTGAAGAAATGTGGTTTCCTGGGAGGGAGGAGAGGGAGGGGATTAAGCAAGGGAAAGGTTTGGGGAAGCTTATCCTGAAGCTGCCTTTTATGCCTTTTATGCAAGGGCCAGCTTCCCAAAGCCTAGAGAGGCAGGCGAGCTTTGCAGCCTCCCAATGGCCAGTTGATCGGTAGCAATCTGATGGTGCAGAAAGCTCTGAAAAGCTAATCAACTGGGCCTTTTTTGCCCCAGAAAGGCAGGCACCTTGGCAGGAGGAAGTACAAGGGCAGAATTAGGAAAGGTAGGCATACCAAGTGCTGGCAAGATAATCAGCTATGTAGAGGGCCTATATACAGACTGGGGGATACTTTGAGAGGCCTGAAGTAGGTGGGCTTGTGCCAGAGCAAGGCCTTCCAGGATCTACACAATCTTAAATTGAGCTTCACTTAACAACCCATGAATTCATTTAAAGAATGCATTGGGAAGAGCAGGGATGACTAGTTGTTACTTTAGGCAGCTCATTTAACATTGTTCTGACTTTTGACACTAATAGGCAGGCTCCATTATGGTCGTAACTTGAGGGGAAACTGGAAGCATCACGGTGAGACCAATTGGAAAAATAGCAGGCTCCAATGAGTTCCATGAAAATCCAGCCAGACAAACTGCTGTCGGGGGAAGGATCTTCAGATCGGAACCATACTGTAGGGATAGGGAAGAAGGAGTTGCATCTTGGACAATCAGGAGGAACCAGCAAGTTCCTCAGTAGGTCAGAGAAAGCTCTTTGGACTGACAGCAGGGGCAGTGGCCCTTTTCAAATGACTGCTCTGAAGCTGGGGCAACCGGACTACGTTTTTGAGCAAGAGTAGTGTTGGAACGGAGTGTTGGAACCAGGTGAGTGATTGGCCAGCTCACAGTTAAAAGAAAATTTGAATTTGGACTTTAAAAGGGTCCCAGAGCTAAATTAGTGGCTAATTGGCATTTGGGAAATTCCATGGAGGAAGAAGGATAAAGCAGAGGCTAAAATACTGAAGCCCAAGAAGATTCTTGCTTTTATAATTGGATTTGGAGAAATTAAAAATAATAAAAAGAAAGAACCTGGGGAAAGGTTTTTTTATGTGGATTTAAAGTGTTTTTGACAGTTTTGACAATCAGCTGGTTTGAGTGTATTGTGGATTTGAGAGTACTACAATAGTTTGTGAAAGATAAAAGAGAAAGTGCAGCTGTGAATCTTGACCTTGACTACCAGAAAAGGTAATTTGGAACTGTGACAACTATTAAAGACTGTTTTTCTACATTGCTTGGTTTGGAAGATAAAAAATGTTCGACTTGGATTGGATTGGACTAATATTAGAATTGGACATTAGAATCTGGAAATTTAAAAAAAGGACTGTATGGATTAATTGTGATTTTTAAAAGTCTTTAAAAATTGTTAAATTTGTTAAATTGGCAATTTAGATCCTTAGATGTATGATGAATTATTTGAGATACTAAAAAACACATGTGAAACTTTAAAAGGCAATAAAAAGTCAGAAATTTGGCTGGAGCACACAGATCAGGAAATAGGAGAGAAGGGGGTAAAAGAGAGCATAAATGAAGAACAAGAAAATAATATTGAAGAAAAAGGAACTGAAAGTAAAAAGCAGTTAGATGATTTCACTGGGATTTACAGTGGCACAAAAAGGGTAGGCAGAGGGAATGCTCCCCCAAAAAGAATCAATCAAACAGCAAAAAGGGAAATAGTGGGACCAGGAAAAACTCTGTGGAAAACTACTTGAACAATAAAATTAAAAGTGAGAAAAAGGATTCAGAAGAAAAGATACAATAAATATAAAAAGGGAAAAGAAAAAGAAAAAGAAGAAGCTAAGAGAATGGGATAAAAGAAGAAAATTAATAAGAAGTGGAATCTTTGAGAGACCAAGAGAAAATGGTTAAAGAGAAGAAGGAAGGGAAATAAGGTAGATATTAGTAGATTAAAGGGAATTGTATTAATATTATGGTGGATAGTTTTAATTTATTGTTTAAAAACTGAGTCATAGCTGCAATTAAAAAGATTAATATTTTTTGTTATTTTGACTGAGGTTTATTTTTCTTGCTTTATGTTGGATTAGCATTTGTATTTTTCTTTTTGTTTTCTTTTTATTATACATCATAACAGGTACAATAATAAAAGACAAGCAAGTAGCAATTATAAATTTGAATCTTGTCCAAAAAAAGAAAAAGAATGATGGAATTTATGCAGTTTAAGATATTTGTGCGGAGCAATTTTTTGCAGAAGGAAGACTTGAAAGAGGCTGAAGGTATTTGTGGACTGATGCTGGCCTTCCCAGTCTGAGGTCATCCAGATGTGTTGGACTATAAATTCCCTATTTTTAGCCCAAGGAGGAGTGTAAACAATCATACCTCAGCACCAACAAAGCAATGATCACAACTAGCACTACAATTCCAGTAAGTGTGAAAACAGCTATGGCCAGGAAGTGGGGACCTATCAAAAAAAGAAAAAGAATGGGTAAACCGAGATCCTTAAAAAGCAGTTTAAGAGGTAAACCATAATAAAACAAAATAAACTTGTATTACTGTACACAGCTTGTACAACAAAATAGTAAATGTTACATAACAATCATTTTTGAGCCATTGTTTTGAAGGTACTGTAATGAATCCAGCCCTCCAAAAAATTACCATCAATAACTTACCGACAGAAATTTAGGAAGCAAACTCTCAAACTGATACTTTGTCAGACAAAAAAATGTTTGGCCTAATGGTACTCCTGGATTTGTAGCGACATATATATTTTGACTTAAATGGTTTGATTTGGTTTTGTCCTAATGTCTACCCTAAATGATTGCTAGGTTGATTTTTCACGTATTATGTCAGTCTTGTTTTAACCATGGTTTGTTAAAACAAGAGCTAAACAAGGAGCTAAAATCCTTTTCTCCCTGCTCCCCCCACTCCCCCCAGAGCTCTTTCCTAGGGATGGATCTGCAGGGAGAAAAGGATTTTAGCTCTGTACCTTTTCTCCCACAGCCCAAGAGCTGCTCCACCAGTGTGGAAAGGCAGGGGGGAAAGGATTTTAGCTCCTTGTCTTTTTGAATTTTCAGCCTGGTGGATTTTCTTTTCTTGTCTCTCCATTTCTGCATCCCTGCGCACGTTACCTGGGAATCCATTCACTTAACAACTCTTGAGATCACTTCAAACTGAAATTGGCAGCGCTAAGATCATGGTTATTGAGTTAAATGATCATGTGATGTCTCACATAACAACCACTTTGCTCAATAACCAAGACTCCAATCCCAACTGCGTAGTTAGGGAAAGTCTACCTTTAGTTACTTATTCCAGTTTTGAGAAAGAGGGAAGGAATGGATCCCTATCAACACTATAATGATTCTATGCTAAATTCTTTGGGGACGTTTTTGCATTTAGTACTACTTTGATAGTTCTTGACATTTACTTATTTTGCTTTGATACATCTATCTAATTCATCTACCTTTTCAACTACGGATCAATCTTATTTTCTTAATTCTGTGACAACAAGGTCAAATTTGTCAGAACATCTGGGCTGACTGTTCCTATCAGAAAAGCAGGATGTTAGGTCAAAAATAAATAGAGCACTTAACATGCTCATATACTGGGCAGGTTACAAAAATCTTGCTTGCCCTGCACCTTAAGCTGAATGACAGGGGGCTAAAAACCTCCCAACACATTTTTAAATAAAATTACAAGCTCACACATTCAGAATATAGAATAGCATGGGTATATATTTCTGGTATGCTGCTGCCCCCTGGTGGCTATAATTATTCCAATGGGGAAAATCTGGATGCCTTCCCACCTGTTTTTCTTCCCAATTTAAGATGTAATCAGAATATTAAATAGCAGCATTATTATTATATTACTTTTGTGAATTTCTGATCAAAATGGGGAAATGAATTACATAAAGCAGCAAACAATGTATTATATTTTCAGAATATTGATGGAGAGGCTTTTATTTTATTTTCTGCACTGAAACTTATAACTGTTTAAATAAACTTTTTTTTTTTTTAGAAAAATGCTATAAGCAGTGCAATGAGAGACAGAACAGCAGTCTATGGAGCCACAATACTTAATGTCACAATTTAATTTGGATATAGATAGAACATTTTATCGGTACTATGCCTTAGAAAATATATACCAGAGATCCTTTTGGAATGCTTTTCTTTTAAAAATAATAATAATAATACTGGTATCATATTGAAACTATGTAAGAGTTTGAAAGCTGCACATCAGCTATTGGGTAACATATTTGCACTCTGTTCTCAGTCTGCATCCAAAATGCCCATATTTATCAGAATCTTGGCATTTATTGATGTACCATATATTTTTTTGCATTAAATACTATAGATCTGTCATATTTATGATGACAATAAAACCTGGTGTGGGAAATGAGAGGACCTTTCCATACCTAGTGGAAATTATAGCATGCAAGATTAAAGTTTAACAGGAATCAGGAGTGAAACAAACAATTGGAAAATCCCCATTCACCTTAATACAATTTAGATAACTTCCTGAAGTAAATAAATAGCTTTCTGCTTATTGAGTCCTCTGCATAAGGCCTTTAAATAATCTTCTGGGCTCCAGATGTGTGAGTTTAAAACAATTGGAGAATTGTAATTTGGGGAAGACTAAGCTAATACTGTAAGTCAACTATCAGTTACTCCTACTGCTGACATTTAGAGAGGTGGGGAAGGGGAATGGTGGGGGGGAGTCAAAGGATGTGTGCTTATATCATTCCCTCTGGGACACCTAATTTTGAGAGCCATTCTAGGATACTGTAACAGGATAGGGAAGACTATATAAAATTTTATAAACTCTGCACATCATTCCTTATCTGTTGGGAAATTTATTGAGTAGATCAGGGTTACTTTTCCTCTAACACTAGATTATATGACTCACAATTATGCTAAGAAGTGGATGTGTTTTATCAGCCTTGCCTGTTATTGCACAGTATCATACCCCCAAAATGATCATTTGTTGTGCTGCAGCAGCGCTGATTATGGTGAGGTGTCTATCATCCTTTCCAGCTGGGGGCACATTTAGAATTTCGAGAGTATACTGTGTGCACCTATTCACAAAATTTCAAATGTATTCTAGCTTTTAAAAATATTATTTGACATTCTATAAAATGCTGGAATGGCTTTAATTAGAAATCAGGCCAAAACAGACACATATGATGCATTATATTAAAAGGTTCCAAGTTTGAAAAGCTATAAGATATACACAGCAAGAGATGCTAACCATTTGTTATCAAATACATTATTTGTGTAGTTTCTTGAGCCTCTGAAAATTAATCTCCAGTTCAAAAGTCTCTTTCTAGATTTCACAGAATGGATAATATTTGGTCATGGAACCATCCTAAACTTTCAAACTTATTTCTCAAGGTCAACCCTAGTGTTTCCATAGCAACAACTCTTTATTTAATAAGCAGGTTTTTCTTCAACCTGGGAGGATAAAAGAAGGAGTGGCAAACATAGGAAAATTATTTCTCCATCCAGGAATAAGCCAACTGCTATGAGAGCTTGATCATGCAGAACGGAGATACTTACAAGTTAAACCAAATAAATCATTATAATGCCTGAAAAAGTTCTATGGTGATATGATGTTTTGTATTTGATATTTATATTTGATTAATTGTAAATGGCTTTGGAACTGAGGATGGCATTCAAAACAGAAAAAAGCAACTTTTATAAGAATATACCTCTATATCTGTCATTTTATTATGTATCCCAGTGATGGCTAACCTTTTTTTGACTCGGGTGTTGAAAGTGTGCATGTGTGTGCAATAGTGCATGCGCGTGCCCATACCTGTAATTCAATCCCCCCTGTGTGCCTCCTGCACATCCGTGCACGACCCCACCCTGCTGCCCCCTAGTGCATGCATGCACAACCCCCCCCCCCAGCTGCCCTCCTGAAGCCTGGGAAGGGCAGAAACAGCCTCACCCGACACACACACCCCCGGAAGCTGGAAACAGCCCGTTTCCGAACTTCTGGTAGGCCCATTTTTTGGAGGCTTTCCTGAAACCTGGGAAGGGTGAAAACGGCCTCCTTCGGCCCGTCATAGGGTTATGAGACTACAGGAGAAAAATAACAAACCAGTAATTCAGAAAACTAAAAAGAATTGTTTCCTGCTTGCAATTCATACTGTAGCACGTAAGGGATATAGCCTTGTTTGAAATGCAGGTAGTCCTTGTTTAGTGACCACAACTGTGATTGGCAACTTGGTCATTAAGCAAAGCAGTTAATGAACCTGTAACTGTTCTTACTTCTGCCTTCTCTTGCTTTACAGACCTGCAAAGGTTGTCAATGAGAAAGTTGCTTTTTCATCACCGTTGTAACCGTTGTAACTGTAAATGGTTGTTAAATGAGGCAGACACCAAACAAATACTAGCTGCATGGAAGAACTGCTACCTCGGCAAAAAAGGGGCTAATATATTTTCAACAAGAGAGTGTTCAGAAGTGGCTCAAACAGATATATACATTCTCAACACACGTTATGAATTATGGCAATTGCAAATGACTGATTCCATTTGTAGATATCTTTCTTAAGAATTAATGCATTTTTCATTCCATAAGATGCACCTAGGTTTAGAGGAGGAAAACATGAAAAAAAAATATCAGGCGGAGTCTGAGAGGGCCACAGATAGGTGTCCTCTCACGTGCCAGCTCTGTCTATTGACTCCTGCACTGCAGAAGAGACAAAAGAGGCAATGAGAAAGACAGAAGAGGCGAGGTTCAGCACTGTAAAAGGACCCCGCTGCGGCGGCCTGGCTGCTATTTACCAAAGGACGGGGGAGTACGTCTAATGGAGCGAAAAATATGGTAGATTGGCTCACCACTGCTAGGAGTATCAGTAGGTAGCATGTGGTTTTTCCAGATGAATCCAGGCATCGTTGTCTTCTCAACAGTTTTGTTCAACTTTGTGTCGAACCACAGGAGGGGTTTAAACTGGAAGAAGAAAAGAGAAGGAGGTTTCACTCTGATGCTTCTTTCCTCTCGTTTACTAGCAATTAAAAGTAATTTCCTCAGTCTCCTTCTTTGATCTTTTCAGTCTCCTTTCTGTATCCCACATATCTCATATTGAGCTCTTATGTAAATTATTAGTCAAAGTATAAAGGAGTCTTTTGCTTAAGGACCAAGCCCCTTTGATTTCCTTTACTTGAATTGCAGTAAACCAGGAAAACTCCTAGGGAGGGGGCAATGGGAAACCATTTTTGAAAACATTTCCAAGAAAACTGCAGGGACTTGTCCAGGAAGTGACTCAAAGGCACAACGAAAACAACAAAAGGAAAACTCTACATTTCCCATTTCATTTCAATCAGGCAACAATGTTTACCAGCTTCAAATTACACTGAATAGTACATCAATTTTAAGCTATGGTTTAATATACTATTCTGCTTTGCTCCAAAGTGAGAATAGGATTGTTGTTTGGGCCTGTCTAGATGACTGTGGCTCACTAATAAAGAATGTGCTTTCTATGCAGAAGTTTGCAGATTTAATATCTGGCTCTAGAGGTACAATGGGTGAAAATCCTACCTGATATATATTTGCCAGTTAATGTATTTATCTTAATGTAGTGTCTAATGTTTTTGATCAGATCAAAATGAAAATAGTAATTAACATAGGGTTTTGTCTAATATGCTTCCCCACAAAACGTAAACACTTAAGGGATATTTAAAGCGCTAAAGATATCAATAATTTTATAGATTTTTAATTCCAGATGTTGGTAACACATTTTAACATTTCTACATTCATTCTACCAGTGGTGGGTTTCAAAAATTTTTACTACTTATTCTGTGGGTGTGGCCTATTTTGTGGGCATGACTTAATGGTCATGTGACTGGGTGGGCCTGGCCAACTTGATGTCACTCACCAGGAGATGTCATGGATTGGGTAAAATGTGGTGAAGCTCACTTAACAACACTCTTGCTTAGCAACCAAAATTTTGAGCTCAATTGTAGTCACAAGTCAAGGACTAGCTCTGCCTTCCTCTGCATTGCAGCCTTGTCCTAGTAAACTCCTCCTTTCTGGCAATTTTCCTCTTTGTTAGAGGCATCAAAATGATCTAGGCAATGTAAGGTTTCCTGCTGCAGCAGGGGGTTGGACTAAATGACCTCTGAGTAAATTGCTGTGTCTGTCTGTCTTTCTTTCTTTCTTTCTTTCTTTCTTTCTTTCTTTCTTTCTTTCTTTCTTTCTTTCTTTCTTTCTCTCTTCCCTCTGTGGGAAGCAACCAACCACCGCCACCCAATAAAATATTACTCCCAGAAAGGCTCATTCCACATGCCTGCCAGATAGATAATGAGATAATGAGCCTATATAAAGTTTGGCTCTGTTCACAAGCAGGAAATGATCCAAACCCTTTTAGAAACACAAAGCCCATATTGGACAAACCCCCAAACTTCAAAAACATAGAACCATTTAAGAATCCTATCTTTTATCCAGTTTGTTGTTCCGTTGACCCAGAAACAAACTGCTGAATGTCACTTTACAAACCTCCTTTTTTCAATTTAAAGCAGGTTTCAATTTAAAGTTTGCAGCAGTAAGACTTATGATCTTCAACTCCCAGAATTCTACAACCAGCAAAGCCACCTTGGGAACTTTAAAACTTGTGGACTTCAACTCCCAGAATTCCACAGCCAGGCATGCTTAGTTCCGATTTAAAGCAAGAGCATTTTTTTTCTACTTTACCAAATTCTGGTTAAGAAGTGAGATTCCTTCTTTCTTTTTATTTATTTTTTCTTTCTCCCTTCCCTTCCTTCCTCCTTCTCCCCCCCCCCCAACTCTCTTGCCTGAACTGGCAGAGAAAATAGGCTTTAAAAAAAGCTTCTGATAGAGATTTGTGGGCGTGGCCAAGGCACCATTACTATCAGTCCAGTCCAGTATACCAGATTTTCACTATCTCTTCTGGCGTACCAGACAGGACCGGGAGGAACCGACCTCTGCATGCTACCAAATTCTAGCAATAATTAAAGGAGAGACTCTAGGGACCCCACAAATCTATTAGTCAGTCCAAATATTCATGGGCAAAGAGCTGTATAATCCTTAATAACCTTACATATAAGGATAAAAATTAATATAGGTAGCAAGATGAGTAGCCTATTCTGATATACACCTGCATCAATACTGCAATGTTACATGATTCAGTACTGGACAACTATATGACTAACTTCTACGAGTGATTGAACCTCTAGTCAGTGATTGGTTTTGGTTCATTAATTCTTGCTAAAACTATAGTTTCACAATAAGATTATACTCACTTCTTTGGTATCTGTTGATGTGTAGAAAATACTGAAATTGACATCAATATCTCCATATCCATCCAAGATTTTAGGACCTAAAATACCTAAAGAAAAAAAATCATATTAACCTATACATTTCAGTCAACATCACATTAATTTACTATATAGTAAATTAACTAGACTAATAATAAATAATAATCAAATTAGTTAAATGCAGAGAATGCCTCTGACAATTTGTACTGGATGGCAGATAAATGGTTGTTTTAACACAACCTGTTGGAAAATTATTAAAGAAAATTTAAAAATCAAATCATAGAACAATAGCAGAAAGATATAATTATCGATGGATCTTCTACTTACAGTTATAAAAATGGATTGAGATATATACAGAGGATTTTAAAGATTAATATTTAATTGAAGCCAGAACCTTTTCCTTTTAGGATTAATGGACAAGTAGTTAGAAAAGCGGAATTGAAGTTTATTTCAATACATGATCACAGCAGTGAGATTATATATGCATAGAGGTTGAAAGATTCAACACTACCTACTATGGAGAAATGGTTAGTGAAGTTGATAGATTTTGCTGGAATTGATAAATTAGTTTTCTTGATTAGAGAAAAGATTATATTTATGGCTGACTAGCAGCCTTTTATGGACTTTTTGTGTAAAAAAGAAAAAAATGAACATACTTTTTTCTTTTCTTATACTATGCTTTTTCTTTTATTTATTTCCTTTCCTTTCCTTTAGCTTACTATTTATTAGTTTGTGCTTTTTTATCTACATGTTTAAAAGTTTTAAATAAAACATAGTAAAGTATAATCAAATTATTTTTGAAAAAGTCTTTCTTGTACCCTGTATTGTTTAGGTGTTTTATCCTCATTTGTAAGATAATGTTAAGAAACCTCTTCATAAACTCTATTTTTGGTACTTAATTTTGCACACTACCAATTTGATTCCTATAGATATTTATGGATTGCAATACTTAGAAAGTTAACCAAGAATCCTCAGAGTTGCAGTCTTAAAACATTGGCCAATTTTAAAAACCCTTCATGGGCCCATCCATAATAATCTAAAAGAAACAAGCCCTGGAATTACCTTCAAATGTGCTATTCCGGAATTGGTTAAGCAAATTAACAGGACCAACTGATTCTTGTCTGAACAAAAGGACTTTCAAAGCATGTCCAAAGAGTAAAACTGCATCCACGTATCCCAGAAGGATGTCATTTCTCAGCTAGAAGCAGTAAAAGGAGAGTTAGATCCTAAGATAGTCTTGGACGAAAAGTAATATATGGTTTTATTCATTTCAGGATGTGTTTTTCTCTTTTTAAATTTTTTTTAACTAAATAGTTTTTTTTAAAAAAAGAGAAATTTGAAATTTTCCTTCTATACAGTGTTTCCACATTGGTATACATTCAGGCTGTGTTTTTCTCTAAATTGTTAGGGTATCAACTGAGTCATTGCTTTGGTACCATTTTTTTTTCTCCTTCAAGTTTTATTCAGAATTAGCCAATAACTCGCTGTTGCCCGGGTATTTATTTATAGAGGGGAAATGTCCAGACGAAACATAATTTCTAATGTTGGATTTTCCCCCTTACTAGAAGGAGCCCCCTTGTGGTCTACTGTGAAGCCGTTACCATGGCAACTCCACTGTGCTGCACAGTAGAAGCCATTTTACAGCACTACAGTAGAGACCATTTTAAGGCACGACCGGCTGTAGATTAACAGAACACATACCGTGAGGGGTTTTAGGGGTGTCCTACTCCCACAGTATTAGTTTCCAGAGAGTAAGTCATTTGTATACCAAGTTTGGTTGAAATTGATCAAGGCGTTCCAGAGCTGGAACATACATATACATATATTTATATGTATATGTATATGTATATGTATATGTATATGTATATGTATATGTATATGTATATGTATATGTACATGTCCATACACACACACACACACAGACATATATATATACATACATACATACATACATACATACATATATATATATGTGTCTGTGTGTAGTATATATCTAGTGTATATATATATATGTGTGTGTGTGTGTATGTATGTATGTATGTATGTGTGTGTATGTGTATATATATATATTCTACATATTTTGTGTATATGGGTGAACATGCCCACGTTTCTTTGTGGTTCTTGATACCTCCCTTCTCCCCTCTGCAGGGGGGAAATCCCAAGTAAATGAACTATTAAAACAAATTAATAAACCTTGTCTTCTTCCAGAAAATTATATGAATTATATGAGTATAATCTTGTTCAATATGCAAAGTATTGGACAAGGTGAGTAATTTTAGGAGAGGAACCTGTACAGAATCAGATGATAATTGGCCAAGAAGTTTGTAGTGGAAAGTGAAGAACAAACTCAACAGCACTAACAATGTTCAAAGCAACTGGACTGCAGTTGGTAGATGTAGTTTAGCCATTACATCCATGAAATAAGCCAAAAAATCTCTTGTATCCAGAATGCAAATAAAAGAGTTACCAAATTGATCTTCTCCGTATCCATGAAAGTCCTACTATGATTTAAAATTGAGCTGTAATTTGCTGGTGCAAGAGTCAGAACAAGGACATTTCGCATGTAACTATCAGAGCGACTATTTTCATAAGAAATGTTACTGAAAAGAAAGCACAAATACCCATATGTAGTAAGTTGCAAGAAGAATACAGTCAAACATTATTCAGCCTCTACAGAGAGTTTCTTTAGTAAAAAAAATAATAATTTATCAAAGCAAGAAATTAGCTTTTTTTCCAGAATCTACTTGGTAAAAACAATATTTAACTCATATACATGTGATATAAAGGTAGCATTTAATAAATCTTGATGGGATCTATATATATTGTTTGTTCAATACTGAGGCAAGTGAAATATTATAGGATTTGACCTGGACATGCAGGGATTCAAGTGTCATGCATATCATATAATAGTTCCATACTTCTTCATTGTCTCATTCAAATGATAGTCCCTTCAAACAGGAAGCATAAATGGCAGTCATTCTGCCTGCATCTAGTCAGAGCATCTCAAGAAAAGGCATTTTTAAACCTGAACTTTCTAGCAAAAACTACCTATGAAAAGAATGGTGTATCTAGAGGCAAAATATCACAGGATTTAACACAGCACACCTTATCATAACAATTTCCCAAACTATTATCATCTCCAATTTTCAATATCAGAGAAACAATTGTTCATCATTTCATTTTTGTTATAATTGGTTTTGTTGTAATATTTTAATGGAAATGTATTTAATAATGAATTAAATTTATTTGTGTGCCTCTTCATATATCCAAGAGCTGTTGCGGGAATATAAGAAATGTTCAATATAAATATAATAATACAATGAACATTTAATATCATAAATGTTTATGAAGTGTGGGAAAACAGCAAGAAATTTATACAAAATATTAGAGATTGAGGATCATTTCAGTAAATACTTGAAATAAAATGCAAACGCCTGTTTTGTAATATAGTTTTATCATTATTGTCAGTTTTAAATGTGGAAATCATAAAATATTTGAACACAAATAACCTTTCTGCCCCATGTAAAACGCAGCAATTCTTTATTGAATTGATTTAATTTATGGTGTGTTGACGTGAGCGCTGTGAACAAAATGCATAATAAAAGATTTAAACTACATAACATTATTTGTCTATATAAAGAAAGGAAATAGTTCACATGAAATTTATCAGTCATTTATTACAACTTGTCAAATGCTTATCTTTCTGTTTTAGCATTTAAAAGCAGCCAGTTAGAGGAAGTATAGTGATATATTGTGATCCATTAGCTATACACCGTACATAGTTTACTTAAGAAAATGAGTACATGTCCAGAAGTTCCTGTTTGAAACATACGCACAAGTTACCTATCCATTAGCCTTAGCTTCCTCCATCTCTCATATCAATACTGGTTTACGTTATAGAGAACATTACACAGTATTTTGAACTAATTATTAACATCCCAACTCACTAAACTCTATATGAGTGCTAAATAAGTAACAGGACAGGATGATAAATAAACCTGCATTTTTGATCCAGATTTGTATTTCAGTTGTCAAATTGCTGGCAGTCTTGCAAGCAGACTGGATGTATATCCCATGCCAAAAGATCTTGTAAAACAATTGCAGTGTCATGTGTGAAATGAGCATTTCCTCACTACTGAGTTGAAAGTGCTCTCCTCTCATCCTTGAGGCAACAGAAAACTAGGCAAGCATGACATGTGCTAACCCCTTTGCTGATCTATATCCCACCTCTATTCCCTCTGTTGCAAGTAACTGCCAATCATGTTTTCCTCATTAAATGTATGTAGGGCATGACAGGCAAAGTGACTGACAACCTTCTCAAATACGTATGTCATCATCTAGCATGAAAACAATAATCATAGCATTACAGCACAAATGGACACAGAGGAATGATGCCATAGTTATTTTTTCCTTTGCTAGTTGCCAGACACATATCAAATTTTGTGTGTGTGTGTGTGTGTGTGTGTCTACATACAGATTTATTTTTTTTAAAATCCCTTTACCCACTATGGGTACTATGTGTCCTCAATCTCAGGTGCTCTACTAGAGGCCTGGGAGTTAGAGGGTTGCATGCAGTATTTTAGCTGTTCCTACCACTGTCCTTTTCTGCACTGAAATCTCTGATCCTGGGATCTGTTGGAATCACTCTCCCAGTTTAGGAGTCACAGTGATATGCAAATTTAATTTAATTAGGGCATCGGCATGATAGAAAGTATTGAATTAAGATAAAACCATAATAAAAACATCATAATATGGAGCTTTAGAATTGCAGTGGGATAGATGTTATAATTCGATAACTAAGGAAGCTAATCATTTAACTGCTTCTGATGTGGCTGCAATGGATTGTCCCAGGTGCCTTGAAATTTCCTGAGGAGACATTCTATATGTGTATTAGTTTGTTCTAGGGCACCACAGTTGCATTGTGGGTTCTTGGCCATTCTTCACTTAAAGAGCTTTGCCTTAGTTTTAAATTCTTGATGGTGGTGATAAGGGAAACATTTATAATTTCTCTTTTTCCTACTCTTTTTTTTTCATATTGTCACTAACTGCCAGCTCTGCAATTTCTTCTGTTCTAGAAGGAAAGGGTTGGGGCGGGGGGACGGGGGGGGGGAGATCTGTCTTGGAATTTTAATGTTAACATTTAGTCTGTTATACCACTTTATACTGTTACACTATTATACTACTGACTATTTTAGGCACCATTGTACTGTTTACCAAAGCTGCTTCCAGCTCTTGTGGGAGTAAATATCACAAATATAACACACATTTTTTTGTCTTGAGGTTTCTTTTATCTCTGACCAGGGACGTGCAGTCAGGGGAGGCAGGGGAGGCAGAGCCTCACCTGTCATCATGAAAAGAAAAAAAATGTAAAAGGAAAAAGGCAAGAGCTGAGGTCAGGCTGAGCTAGTTGCTGCCAGAGTCACCGTAGATGACTCTGCTTAACTGTTTAAAAAAGCCTCTAAAAAAGCGCCCTCTACAAGAGGAGGCAGGAGAATGATGTGCCTCACCTACGACGGGAATTTTTAGGCTTTTAATCCTTGTTTAACTCTGCTCAAGTGATCATAAAACGGCAGACTAGATGAGGCACGTCGTTCTCCTGCCTTCTCCTATAAAGGGCGCTTTTTTAGAGACTTTTTTAAACAATTAAGCAGAGTCATTGACGGTGACTCTGGCAGCAACTAGCTCAGCCTGACCTCAGCTCTTGCCTTTTTCCTTTTACATTTTTTTCTTTTCATGATGACAGTGGTGAGGGTCTGCCTCCCCTGCCTCCCCTGACTGCACATCCCTCATAGCAGCTATATCAAATAATTTCTCTCCAGGATGGAGAACTGTGTCAGCTTCTCCTCCTCCTCT